ACTGATGGAATACAAATAATGATAGACTAAAAATACTGATGGGATACAAATACTGATAGGATACAACTACTGATGGGATACAAATAAAGATGGGATACAAATACTGATGGGATACAAATACTGATGGGACAAAAATACTGATGGGACAAAAATACTGATGGGATACAAATACTGATAGGATACAAATACTGATGGGATACAAATATTGAAAAGGTACAAATACTGATGGGATACAAATACTGATGGGATACAAATACTGATAGAATACAAGTACTGATGGGATACAAATACTGATGGGATACAAATACTGATGGGATACAAATATTTATGGAATACAAATAATGATAGAATACAAATACTGATGGGGATACAAATACTGATAGGATACAAATATTGATGGATACAAAAACTGATGGGATATAAATACTGATGGAATACAAATAATGATGGAATACAAATACTGATGGGATATAAATACTGATGGAATACAAATAATGATAGACTAAAAATACTGATGGGATACAAATACTGATAGGATACAACTACTGATGGGATACAAATAAAGATGGGATACAAATACTGATGGGACAAAAATACTGATGGGATACAAATACTGATGGGATACAAATACTGATAGGATACAAATACTGATAGGATACAAATATTGAAAAGGTACAAATACTGATGGGATACAAATATTGATAGAATACAAGTACTGATGGGATACAAGTACTGATGGGATACAAATATTGAAAAGGTACAAATACTGATGGGATACAAATACTGATGGGATACAAATACTGATGAGATACAAATACTGATGAGATACAAATACTGATGAGATACAAATACTGATGGGATACAAATACTGATGGATTACAAGTACTGATGGAATACAAATACTGATGGGATACAGGTATTGAAAAAATACAAATACTGATGGATTACAAGTACTGATGGGATACAAGTACTGATGGGATACAAATACTGATGGGATACAAATACTGATGGGATACAAATACTGATGGAATACAAATACTGATGGAATACAAATACTGATGGGATACAAATATTGAAAAGGTACAAATACTGATAAGATACAAATATTGATGGGATACAAATATTGAAAAGGTACAAATACTGATAGAAGACAAATACTGATAGGATAAAAATACTGATGGGATACAAATACTGATGGGATACAAATACTGATGGGATACAAATACTGATGGGATACAAAAACTGATGGGATACAAACACTGATGGGATACAAATACTGGTGGGATACAAGTACTGGTGGGATACAAGTACTGGTGGGATACAAATACTGATAGGATACAAATACTGATGAGATACAAATACTGATGGGATACAAATACTGATGGGATACAAATACTGATGGGATACAAATACTGATGGGATACAAATACTGATGGGATACAAATACTGATGGGATACAAATACTGATGGGATACAAATACTGACGGGATACAAATACTGATGGGATACAATACTGATGGGATACAAGTACTGACAGGATACAAATACTGATGGGATACAAATAATGATAGAATACAAGTACTGATAGGATACAAGTATTTATTTATACAAGAATAATAAAATACAGAATATAAGTATTGATTGATTGAATACAAATACTGTAGAATATATGTATTGGTATGATACATTAGAATAAACATACTGTGAAGTGCAGATACTGTATACAAATACTACAAACATGAATGCACAATATTACACCCACCCTAACTCAGTTTACTTGATGTATTGATAACACCCAATGAATGACGGATGGATACAGTAAACCAGCGAGCGGCCTAAGTTTCATCTGTGCTTTTGGAGAATGTTATAACAATGGATACAAAAAATAAGGCTGGTTTTACCAAAACGAATATGATTATCCAACTGGGTGCACAGTGTAAATACATGGAAATTAAAAACAGACCCCATCCCCTGGCCACATCCTTATCAGGCAAACCTGATATTGGACCCAAAAGCAAGCAAATCTATACCCCATTCTAGACCAAACAGCAAGATGTACCTACACTTTATACAATATTTTTTTAAATTATGCTAATTTATTCATGATGCCTCAGTTTCTGCGCTCATGAATATTCATTAATTTGTGGGTCAATACATTCTAAAAGGGGTCATATATTATTTTGGGGGGCCAAGTGTTAGAAAAGGGGACAAAGCAATCTATAGGGATTCAATACAAAAGAAGGGACCCAATTTTTAGAGCAGCAATGATCCTTGTATCTGGTGTGCATGTGACTTGCAACTGTTAACCCTGTTCGTACTTCAAGATACACTACATATTTCAATTATTGAGTCACAATTGTCAACAATACTGCCAATTTGATGTTTGCCATTTGGGTTGACCATAACTGACCAAACCCTAACCCTAATGGCAAGACACATTCCTATTAATAATTGCAGCTGTGATACTCCCTTGTGCTGGTAAGTTGGAATGATGTTAAATGAATAAACAAGTCACGTTTAATTTGATTAAACAATTAAAACTTGAGAGAACAAATGTGTCATCAAATATTCAATACTTATTTTGGTGTAAACAACTCTCGTTTGGTTTTTTCCCACCATTACAAGTTGTTAAATTGGGAGAACAAATGTCTCAACAAATATTTTATACTTATTTTGGTGTAAACAAGTCGTGTTTAAATAATTTCTACCATTACAAGCTGTTAAATTGAGAGAACAAATGTGTGGACAAATATTTTATACTTATTTTGGTGTAAACAAGTCGTGTTTAAATAATTTCTACCATTACAAGCTGTTAAATTGAGAGAACAAATGTGTGGACAAATATTTTATACTTATTTTGGTGTAAACAACTCTTGTTTAATTATGTTACATCATTACAAGTTGTTAAATTGAGAGAAAAAATGTGTGGACAAATATTTGATACTTATTTTGGTGTAAACAACTCGTGTTTAATTTTTTTCCGCAATTAAAACTTGTTAAATTGAGAGAATAAATGTGTAGACAAATATTAGTAATGTATTTGTGAGTAAATACCTGTTAATTAATTTCCGCCTCTACAAGGTTGTCAATTTGAGAGAATAAATGTGTTGACATACTGTAGGATACTTTATTTTCGCTTGGAATTTATTTTCGCTATTTTCGCTGAAGGGATGATTCCGTGAAAATAAAATCCAGCGAATATACTTTTTTTCCTATATTTCACATTAAACTCATCAAAAATCAGTGAAAATAAATTCCAAGCAAAACGCCCAAAAAAGCCTTTTCAGCGAAAATTAATTCCAGCGAAAATAAAGTATTCCACAGTATATTTGATAGTTCTATAGGTGTAAAGAACTCGTGTTTGATCACTTCCAGCATTGCAAGTGAACTCACCAATTCGTGTGTATTACGGCTTCTGGAATTGTGTCCAAAGAATTACGATCCCATAGGGCGGCACGTCCCCATAATATTATTTGCATTATTAAAGTGACGACACCACCCGTCCGCCCCCCTCCCCCGTGTAGGCCTCAGGCCTGGTTGGTCATGTTTCTTATTTGTAACAATAACCGCG